TTCTAATTAACTGCTTGGCTCACAGCCTTTAGGTATTAATTTAGTACTCGATTCCTTGAAGTTTAAGTTTTAATTGTCTGGCCACACCATTCAGTTTCATCCGAGAACTATTGCATCAGCCTCTTTCTGGATGGCCTCAATTTTTGTTCCTTCTCTTTTCAGCATCGTATTATGAAGTAAAAATATCAAGGGGTTTTATAAGGTGTAAAGTTCCACACAGAAGTGAATTCAGTCTTCATGGTGGCACTCCACTGCTTAGGAAACTGTAGGCCCTAACTGTCTACCATATCAGTTCCAAACCCACCCTCTCAAGTTCACTCACAAAAATACCTAATTCTAGACTGGACGTGGTGGCTCATGCATGTAATCCCAGCACTCTGGGAGGCCAAGGCAGGCAGATCTCTTGAGGTCAGGAGTTCAAGATCAGCCTGGCCAACATGGTGAAACCCTGTCTCTATTAAAAATACAAAAATTACCCAGGTGTGATGGCACATGCCTGTAATCCCAGCTACCTGGGAGGCTAAGGCACGAGCATCATTTGAACCCAGGAGGTGGAGGTTGCAGTGAGCTGGGATCGCACTACTGCACTCCAGCCTGGACAACAGAGTGAGATTCTGTCTCAGAAACAAAAACAAAAAACCAATTCTACCTGTCCAATCCACGTCCTAGTGCAAGTCAACAGGGACCCTCCATTCCAGGTGGACAGGACACCTTAAGCCACCTTGTCCATTAAGTCTATCAACAAATCCACAGAGTTCTCTCTACTTTCTAGCTGTGTGACTTTAGCCAAAATATTCAAACTTTCTGTGGGTCAGTTTCTTTATCTCTACAGTAGCAATAATAGTAGTATTTAACTCACAGTGTTGCTGTAAGGATTAAAATTAATATGGACAAAGTATCTTAAAGTGGTACCTGCTGCATAGTAAGCACATAATAAAAGTTGCTCCAATTGGTATTATGATCAGGCTAGATTCATGAAGGATACAAAGATAAATTAGATGTAAATTGTTACCCTTAACGAACTTCCAGATTAGTAGAGTGGTAAGTAATATAACCACATACTGTCCATGGTAGATGGGGGAAGGATATAGGGAGACGATGAAACGTCTGCCCTTTGCCCCACGTTCTGTCATTTCTACCTCTCTAGCTCTTTCCCAAGAAAAACTGTGATCAGAACTCAATGGTCAGAAAATCCTTGATTGAGCCACATTTTACAAGTAGTCAGATGACTATGCCTTAAAGATAAGTGACCACAAATGATGTTCTGTCTTTTCCTTCTTAGGCAGGGTATGGCTCCAAGGGTCAGGCAGTTAACATCATCCATGTAGCTGGCTGGGTTAAGACTCAGGGTCTGCTTCTCAAACCTGGCCATCTTAGCAGCAGGGAGAAGCAAGCTTCATTTGTGACTTAACCCTCAGCCAACATCCAACTCAGTCTTGTTGGTTTGTTTTTCCCCAAAGAACCCTCAGAAATGAGCATTTGCCCATAATCAAATGGTAATCTGTTCCACATTCTATCACTGCTCTGAATATGTAGATTCCGGGTTAAGAACTTCAAGGGAACGAAGTATGAGTGGTAGGATTCAAGCACTAAGACCGTATCTGAACTCCTGACCATAGAGAGCAAAGAGGGTCATGGCAGACTGTGTGCTGTGGAAGCATATCTTTGCCTAGTGGGAGGAGAAAATCAGGGAAGGCTTCCTGAAAGAGGTGGCATTTGAGCTAAGACTGTAAGGATGAGTAGTATATGCTTAGACAGTGGGACCCTCAAAGAATTCTGAACACTAGCACAGTTAAACCAAAACACAACTTAAATTTTTTAAAATGACCACATTAGGGGGTGATCTTTTTTTGAGACAGCAAATTAGCCAGCATCCCGCCTCTGGATTTGAGGGCCTTGGGCAATCTGGATACTGGGGAAATAGTCTCTAGGTAGGGTAGGTAATGATCAGTAGGCTCTCTCTCAGTTTCAGTGGAATTTCCATTCCCACCTCCATTACTCAAATTCCTTTTTTCTGATTTTTGTACTCAGTTTCATGGCTATTTGAGACATAAGAAGGGGGTACCCTGCACAGAGGGAACAAGTAGCCCAGTCACTAGAAATGGACAACCTCAAGTGTATTGATAGAATAAGTCAAAGGCATTCCTTGCACTTCTTCATTTGCCACATCCTCCAAGGTCAGTCAGGTTCCCTCCTTCCTTCTCCACTGAATCTATCCTAGGAGAGTTCCACCTATAACCTCTCATCTCCTGAATCCATCGATAATTTTGAGTCTTCATGCTATCAGGCCTCTCCTTGGTAGGAAACAGGCTCTTTTCCTTTGCCTTCTGGGACACCCCTCTCCCCTGGTTCTTCTTCCCACTCTCTGACAACCCCTCCTCAGCCCCCGCTTTTAAGGCAATGTCACTGTTTATTTCTAGGCATCTTGGGAAAGTCTCTATTCAGGACCCACAGGGCTGAAGCCCAGGCCCAGGGTAATCTAGCAGAGGCACTGCCTCTGATAGGCCCACACCACTTACATCCCAACTAGCACCCACCAGATGGTGGTAGAATCTGTATGCAAAGAGGAAGTGAAACTGTCAGAGAGAAGAGGGTAGGAGAAGAACGGAGAGTAAAAGCTCAGGGTGAGGGAAGCGGAGATATGGTTATAAAAGGAAGTTGAGTCAGGGAGGAAATTTCAGATAAAGCAGTTGAATATTCATTCGGGGAACAGGTTGAATTTTTTTTTTTTTTTTTGGAGACTGAGTCTCACTCTGTTGCCCAGGCTGGAGTCCAATGACACAATCTCAGCTCACTGCAACCTCCCCACCTCCTGGGTTCAAGTGATTTTCCTGCCTCAGCCTCCTGAGTAGCTGGGATTACAGGCATGCACCACCACACCCGCCTAATTTTGTATTTTTAGTAGAGACGGGGTTTCACCATGTTGGCCAGGCTGGTCTCAAACTCCTGACCTCCTGATCCACCCACCTCAGCCTCCCAAAGTGCTGGGATTACAGGTGTGAACCACCGCGCCTGGCCCCATCACAGACTTTTGAGTGCAATGCCAACAGGTTAGAAGCAGGCTTCAGGAGGGTTAAACCAGTTTTATGTGCAGAATGGTGGGAGGGAGAAGCAGACACACTAGGGATTGGTACACACGTAGCAAAGCCCTGCTGCCTGCTGTGCAGTCACCTCATCTAAATTCCTTCCCTCTTCTGTGTCACTGAAGTCTTTCCTACTTTATAGCTTGACTCTATAAAGCTGTCCTTGATGGCTGTGGCCCACCTGATGTCCATGTTCATAAAACTTTCTGGACCATACAATGAACATACCATTCTCTCTGTAGAGAGACTCAAAGGACGTACAGAATCTGACCCTATCCTTCATTTGTTAGATGCATGAACCCAATCAGAATAGAAGCTCTCGCATACTACATTTCAGTCACCTGGCAGCACTAGGTTGTGTACAATGTAAAGATACACTAGATGCTTTCAGAAACAGATGGGCTTTGGGATATTTATTCTTTTCCAGAGTGACAGATTCTGCCACATGTCTCTCCAGCTAGAAGACTACATTTCTTAGCCTTCCTTGAAGCTAGGTCATTGTAACTATGTTTTTGCCAAAGGAATGTGAACAGCAGTAATGTGGGCAGCCAGCCTAAAAGGTAACTACTTGCTCTGAACTTCTTTTTTTCTTTCCCTCAATCTTGAACAAGGACATGCAAGCAACCTGGCTTCTACTGTACAGATGAGGACAAAGCCTCAGGGGGATGGTAGAGCAACAAGATGGAAAGAACCCGGGTCCCAGAATGACCTTGTGGAACAGAGTCCTGCCACCAGCCCCAGACCAACCAGACTTTTATCAGAGAGAAAAATAAACTACCTTATTTAAACCACTATACGTAAAAATCTCTAATTCAGCAGTTAAGCCTCTAGTTAATACATTTCCCCAAATCCATTCTCTCCATCTTCTTTAATACAATAATTCTGATTTTTGAACTGGGCATATTATGTCTCAGTTAATAGGCTGCACTTTCCATCCTCCTTTGTACCTATGTGCAACCACATTATTAAGTTGTGGCCAAAGAAGTATAAAAATTGTTATATGAAACTTCTGAGTAATCCCCTTATAAAGTAGTCAGTGACCTTCTTCCTGCTTCATTTTTCCCACTGTCTGGAACGTGAATATAATGGCTGTAGCTCAAGCAGTTATTTTGAACCATGAAGTTACATGCTAAGAACTGTGAAGAACCAGAAGGGCAGGATCCAGGGGCCCTGGTGACCAAGGAGCCTCCACACCAGTTCTGGATTACCTATTTCTCAGTTTCTTTCCATAGAGAGAAACTTTTATCTTGTTGAAGCTATTAATGTTTGCTTGTTGTATGCAGCTGAACTTAATCCTAACAACAGAGACATCCACTAACAGATATGAGCTTCTGGGACTCAACACTTCACACCCCAGCTTGATTGTTGGATATCCTTCTTAGCAGAAGAAAAGGAAAATCACTACTTCCCAAAGTTGCTAAAGTAAGAGGCCAGTTTCCGTTCCTTCTGACCACCATCCGCTTGGCTTTTGTGCTCACTGAAGCAGCTCTACAGGGAGGCCCTTGGCTGACAAACTCCCAGTCCGTGGGCCCAGCAGGCCACAACAATGGTGGCTCACACTAGGGGACCATAACATATGTGGCATCATAAAAGAAGAGGGATGGGAGTGGGGAGGCTGATGTGACCCAGCTCTGATGGGTCAGTAAGCAAGAACAGAACGCTACGAGGTGGGCGCTGGTCACTGCAAATTTAGGTCAATACAGACAGGGAGGAAATAAGGCAACCTCTCTCTCTAGGTTGTGGTTTTTCTGCTTCCCCACAATTGCTCTGGCCAGATGGCGGCCTCCTCCCCTATAACCCAACCCCAGGCGGCAAAGGTGGAAGCCAGATCTAAGAACTGGGGGAGCTTAGACTCAGCACCCACCCCTATCCACAGTCTTGCAGAACTTGGGTGATCCCTCCCTCTCCCAGCCTCACTCTCCCCATCTGTAAAGCGGGCGGCAGGCATCGACAGCTCTTTGGGCCTTTCCTCCAAGCCGGCGAAGGTCTGGGCACTGCGCTCCCCATCCTGGCCTCGCCTCTGCCAGAGCTGCCTCCACGGACATCTTTTCCGACCCCCTCCCCCTCCCT